AGAGAGAGAGAGAGAGAGAGAGAATGGCGCGCAGCCGCGCCGGCACGATAAATGATAACGGAGAGCGAAATTAGGCGAAACGAAAATAGTTTCAAGAAAAGCCGATCTCGCTACATAATATAGTATATGTCAAGCAGGCTGACAGGTAGCAGGGGCAATCTCACCTAGTAGCCCCTTAAACGGCTCTGACGGCAAGGTAATTTTCTCGGAATTCGAGATTAAAATTGCATCCAGGCTAGAAGGGAACAAAGTACAAGCGGCCCGACCACTCTTGCCCAGGCTTCGCCGAGCCGAAGGGGGTTAAGATGGCGAGGCCGTAAGAAGGGATGGAGCAATCTAACAAGCGGAGGGTAAGATGGTGGAGAGAGAGAGAGAGAGAGAGAGAGAGCGTGAACCCGTGTGAATTAGCAGCAGCACCCAAGTAAAAAAAATACTCGCCGGATGAAAAATGCCTCGTGGATCCCTTTGTATTACCCCTAAGTCGACAGGCGACGAGGTGAAAAACGCACGAGAAAGGGAGAGAAGAGACCTCGCAGCGGTCTTGCACCACCCTCTAAAAAATTTCAGATACATCGATACACGCGAGATGCTTCTTTTCTCAGGTACGGTGGAATTAATCCCTTAACGAGTAGACTAGGGATGTTGCATTTCATAGGCGCGAAAGTGAATGAAGCAATCGTTTTTGAAGAAATAGTATTTGGTAGGCGAAACAGATGGAAATTGTGCAAAGGTACGCAGTCTACTTGCAAGAGTAATGATACGGAACGCCTCGAGGTAATTTTTAAAGAAAAACGACTGGATTGTTGGATCTTTTCTGACATCACTGAGATATGAGATTACAAATCATAAATGGCTGTAGGTGCATATTCCATTTAGGAATTAATCTACATTCTCCAAATACTTGACTGTATTATATATTGTTTGCACTGTTATTGCAATGTGTTTGTTATTAAAAGAAAGGTTCGTTTCATTGCTCATGATTGGAAATCGTGACATGCTAGTTCGTGAACGTATGAGGGATAGCACGTGTCCTTTTGGAACAGAATTCCAATGTGCAACGTGAGCATTGTAGCCAGCTTCATTAGAGGTCTAACGAGGCATCGATGGTGTGTAGCCGATGTAGTTGGTCATCGATAAATAGATGATAATGACTTTACGCGGATAATAATCGCAACGTGTACAGCATCGATGGTGCCACAACACTATTAACTCCGATATTAGCAAACGCGTAGATAGATGCAATTCTAAATCCCTAAATCTTAAACTGAAAGCCTCGAGCGGCTGTTAGAGACTGAAGACCAAAGTTTCGCAAGAAGGCCAGGTGTTTCGTCCGTTTGGGTCGTTGAAAAATTTCAGTAACCTCTTCGTCTCTTTCCTTGCATAGTAAACGGTGATCAGAAAGCGGGTAAAGTTTCGCCAGCGTGGAATAGCGCGAGGGCGAAGCGTCTCAAAGAAACGGCAGGATAATTAATCTGGAATCTATTCAAGAGCCATTACCACGCTCCGACTCCGAGACTGATTAATTAACCAGCCGCTTTGTTTATATAGTCCCGGGACTATTACCGAGTACTTCGCCAGTTAAATTACTTGCACAGTGCTCGAGTGACGTGACACGCTTGCAGTTTTCTGTCTCCGGCTAAGACTGCCTCTACTATCTGGCAACTCACCTCGCCGGAGTTCACCTTCCCTTCCCGCCGACGACGTCACAACAACGCGATCCTGTGTGCGCTTCTGTGTGGAGGTAAGAGTCAAGCCTCGGTGTTGCGCGATCCCATCGGAGGGTTGGATGTATCAGTGGCGCCAGGCCACCACCGCCAGGCCAACGGTGTCAGATGGATTCTGTGAACCGTGAAATTGTCGCGCGGAACGCGACCGATAAACCTTTAAATACGAATTAGCGGCACTCGTGCCACGCGAAATCTGGCGTCGCGCTACGTCATCCCGGACGTTTCCACGCACCGCGTGCTATCCAGGCGTCTCTCTGTCCGCTATAATTAGTATCTGGTTTTCGCGGCCCAGTGCGGGTAGTACGGGCATATTCAAAAAGGGGTGCAGCAGCGAGGGGCAGCGAATGGGACACTCGTTCGATTAGCATTACGGTAGCCGTGTACGTGTAATTAGTTTTACCACGGAACAGGCGGCAGGCTCGTTGGAAAATTCGCCGTTCCGGATGTCCCGTTGGCTCGGTGCCCGCCACCGATTTACCGAGACTCGACCGAAGTGCATGTAAGGCTACGGTGGACCTGTGTTCCCACGAATTGTCGTTCTACGTCATCGTTGTACGATGAAAGTCTTTTTCAAACATCACGGTGTAAAATTTCCCACCTTAATCGTAATTTCTATGAATAATTTCTCGTTTGATTTTATATTATAACTTGCTGGTCGTAGAATTTCATGATTTCGTGAAATGACGTATATCAGGTTCTTCGAAAAATTGATTTCGCGCCTTCAAAAAATTACTTATAAATTTTTCAAGTTTTATATCTTGTTCGTATAACCATGACAGTCGTGACATTTCATAATGCTTCAAAGTTCGTGAAATAGTATATATTGGATTTTTCGAAAAATTGATTACGTGTCTTAAAAAAAAAAAAAAAAATTACTACAAAGACATATTAAGGATATAATGATAAATTACTTTGAAACTATTCCTTTAACTTTATTATAAACTCTTCAGAACATGCACTACATGCCCCAATCCCAACGAGACGATTGCTTGGAAAAAATTTTTTCCACGAAGAGCATTCTCCGATGATGTAAGAGAGTGAAAAGTCGGCCGGAATATTAAATATCGAATCAGGACGTTAATACTGAATTCGAGTGGTACGGGCGAGAGTAACTTAATCGATGGCTGTCGATGGAGTTGAAGTTTCAAACGGTAGAGTGATCTGTAACGCAAAGAGTAGAGATTCTTCAAGCTATCGAAGTTTTTGCTCTTTTTGTTCATCTTTTTTTCTTCTTCTTTTCTTTTTTTTCTAAAAGGAACGTTGTTGGACTCTTTTAAGAATCGATTGAGTACGACGAACCTCTGCAAAGTGTCATTTGAGAACGTCACTGTTCCTCTAGTTACAAAAGACACTTGATCCGGTGCTCTTCTATTACGTTAATGAACGAAAAAACACGGTACTCTGTTTTTTCATGCAAAGGTTTGTGTCGGATACAGAGATACGAAACAACTTCTGTACGATAAAAATGTTATCTGCCAAGTACTTTCATAAAATAATTAAACTACACGTTTCCTTTCTTCTTCTTCTTTTTCTTTGTATATTTATTTATAATCGAATCAACAATCTCAAGTTATTAGCGATTACAATCTACAATCTTTAAACAATTTTAATTTTACTGCTGTGTATTTTTAATTGACTCTAACCATTCGAGTAAAATGGCCAAAAATATTACTTCTCCGTCACATCTGCGAAACTCCAATTCTAAACCATCATTTATAGTTTTTGATCGAGATATTCCCGCGAGTCACTTGTCAAAAATCCGCTTGCTGTTCAATATACCGAAGCCTCTTATTGAACACGTAGGATATTATGATTCAACATCCGACCGATCAGAACTCATCAAAATTTTCATCTCCGCGAATCTATCCCTCGCCAAATAAAATAATCGTCATCCCGTCTGTATAAATTCTACGATTCTCCCGCGGCACCTCAAACAAATCGATCCTCGTGTCGACGTGTGTTTCTCGCAATAACAAACCCCGTTTCTCCAACCTAATCCAGAAACACGTAAGAATCGAGGACAAAGGAAGCCCGCAGAGATGCAATACGTAACCAGACGATGGTAACCCGAGGACTACGGGTTAACGTTGTCACCGGCTGGCGTGTTTGTTTAAAGTGTAAATGCAAATGACGGGGTCGCTATAACAGGTTGTTGCCTCGCAGAGTAGCCTCTAAGTTGGAGAGAGGGTTGAATCGAGCAAACTGGTTCGCAGAGTAAGGAGATTGTGCCACGGCGATGGGGGTCGCTTCGAGAGATCGGGAGCGACTCCTTCCCAAAAGGCGATGGAAGGGATTGGTCTGAGATCGGAGGTTGAAACACCCTGCCAGAGAGCTGGAGGGCTCTCTCGCCCTCGATCAGACCCGGCAAATGGATAAATTACTCCGGCTCGGCTGGTGACGTTGTCGGGAAAGCATGGCAAGCCTTCGAGCTGCTTCTGTCACAGCCGTTCGAATTCGATTTCGAGGCAGGTGTACTCCGGCAAAAATAATATTAACCGTCGCAGTCTCGGTTCGAACAAGAAAGGAAGAGGCAAGCCAACGTCGATGTTCCACGTAGCAATTTGTCTCCGAGGGTTGGTACGACTCTTTCTCAACTCGTCTACCGGTCGTCTTCCGGATCCTCTTCTCCGGATCCGTTCTCTCCTTTTTTTTTCCTTCTTCTCCGCTCTTTCCCCATAATCTAATGGCTTATTCTGATCGAATGTTTGAAGAAGGAAAGCGTTCGTGAAGATTTGTGTTGAAGGTAGAAGAAAGTTTTCAAATTGATACGCTATATTTGTTACTAATTCTTTTTTCTTTCTACCGAGCATTGCCAATAGCCCAATTTTACAACTTGTATATTATACTAACTCCATCAAGTACAATTTCATCGTTGTCATCTAAAATCAACACGATATATCACCAAGGCATTTACAAATGGGTCCTCTCCCATTTGTGAAACATTAACGAACGTCCCGGAACATTCGATCGAATGACCAGTAGAGAGGACGGAGTCTGTTTGCGGTGTCCAAACATCGGTCTTCCCTCAAAAATTCAAGGAGCCGATGGGCCAATCGAAAATTCACGACTCTCGCGGTGTTCGTGAAAGTGAAACTCTCCTGGCCGACCGTCGGCTAAACGCTTTGCACGGAGTCAAAGAAGCAACTTTGATGTCCCACAGTGATGGCTTCACAGAGTTTGCGATATCAATCGTTTGTCTAACAAACTGGAATAAGTCTGACTTCAAACATATCGTCCTGGTGATTGACGTAACAGTTTAAACAAATAGATTGACATTTTTTTACAATTGAAATTCTTTGCATCGATCGTAGTTAATTGATAAATTTTGCACAACGTTCTGATCAACGATGCTCTCTCTTAAATTGTCTATTTGACTACACTCTTTGTGCAAACAAAGCATACTTTTAACAAAATTCTCTACCAGAGACACGTATGCAATCTTCAGTCAAATATCATTGACAATTCTATTTTTTTGAGTTACTTGTTCTAGCACAGCCAGATTCATTCCCTTCAGTATGCATTCAACATGCATTTTATAGCAAGACCGTGCCGTAGTTATTCTCCACTTATGGCCAAAGCTTGTTATACAATATTCCTATTCGTCAAGACAACGTCGGGATGTTTGCCATCTGTAGATATCACTAGCTAACCTGTCCTCAAGAATGCATCGTCGCCGGCGATATGTACATGTGAAATCATCGCTCGAGATTGATTCAAGGGGGCCGCGATAAATGGCACGCACTGAAGGCGCAGTCCAGAAAGTAAGAAAAGGGGAGTATGGGGTGGAACAGCGAAGGATGCTTCGAACGAAGGGCGAGAGGGCCAAGGGGGGGAGGCGTAATGGCGGCTAAATTCCTGCAACGACCGGATGCAATTTAATGCCAGTAGTCGTGGCGCTATCATCGCCTCGCTGATGCAATATCTTTCGAGTTTCCGGCGTCTAGTTAGTGCGGAACGAGCTGTTGATAAATCTCTCTCAACCTCCCCCTCCCGTGTCCGCTCTCTCTGCCACCATATCCAACTCCCACCTATGGCTTCCCAGCGACTCCTCCAACTGCTCGTTTCCCCTATGTTCAAACCAGCCATCGCGCCACCACCACCACCACCGGCACCATCCCCGCGGCTCGGTATGTGCAGGCCATTTCTCCGGAGCGGAATTACATCCCCCAAATTGTAATTTTGTCGGGCACCACTCTCTGGTAACACCCGCATTATTTCCCCCACCCGTCGTTTTCAACCCCTCCCTCTCCTCCTACATCATGCTAACAACCCCTCATCCCCAGCCGGTCTACTTCTCGTCGACTCTCTGAGCTCGTTCACCCAGTTAGACCCGTTAGCTCTCCTTTCCAACGTCTCGACGCCGAACGAACGAACGAACGAACGTACCGGTGTAAAAGGAGAAAAAGCAAGGATTCTCTCGCTGGCCGCGCGGAACGACGTCGTTTCCTTTGCGTGACACGTGTCTGCGAACGAGCATCGATTTCCGGTTGCCATCGGGAGCCGGTGCCTCTTCCTTTGGCCGCTGTCTCTGTTCTCACGGAACACCGCGTAGAAAAGGGAATTAACCGGTTCAGGTCGATACGTGCTGAGAGAGGAGCCTGTCCGAGTGAAGCTCCCTGGCTTCAAGAGAACGAATCAAGTAGTGGTATTCGAGCCTCTAGACGAGAAGTGTGTATTTAAAGATAAAGAGAGAGAGAGAGAGAGAGAGAGAGAGAAGGCTCTCGCCTAGCCCTTGTCCGAGAAATAAATAGAATCGCACAAGTGCTTAGAGAGGCTTGGCGAAATTTTCTTCAACGTTTGCCCCCCGATGCTTTATTAATACGATGATTTGATTCAATTTCTGATTAGTAGTATTATGTATATATTTGAAGAAGAAGAGAGGAATTATCTACAGATAGAAAAGACGTAACGGTAATTAAATTCATCGTAACATTTGCCTACGTCAGTTCCGTTTCAGGAACCTGAGTGGGAAATTGAATGAAAAATTTATACAAGAAAAGAGATTCGTCCTAGAAAATAAAATTATACGAAAGTGCTTGTAAAATTTTCACGAGAGATTCGATAGATGCTAAGTTAAATATGAAATTCACGTTTCGAAAATATCCGTATATTTATCTGAAGAAAATTGCTTTTACGTCGTCGAATAATGCTCTTTTTTTTTTTTTTTGTTTTTCTTAAATTACACATGTACAAAATTGTTGAAATATATATGCAATATGCTTCTATTAATCTCATGATATCGTTAGAGACCAATCGCAGCATAGAGATAGTCAACAATAATACTAAGTTCCTTAGACGTCAGAAGTACTCGATGTGTCCAAAACACGCGTCTCGTTTTCTATTTATCCGGCTTAACTGAATGTCCGAATGGAAAGAGCATAATAATCGTTAAATCGTCGCGGCATTTACATTAGTTCCGTTCCGGGAACACGGGTAAGCCGCGGAACGAGGGTGGAACGAGGATGAAGGCTCCCCGTAGCGTCGAAAGCGCTAAGAAAAGTGGAAAACACGAGAGAGACGATATTCGATTCAAGCAAAGTTGAGAAAGACCGGTGAGATTAAATTGATTTGCCACGCATTATCTGTGAGAGGGGGAATTCCACGTTGTTCTTTTCGGGGAAATTAATTATTAAAACAGGCCGATAATCAAGTATATAATCATTACGAATCCCTCGTAGTTCACCCCGTAGAAACGCGTTCACCATGAGAGATTAATGGAGCAACCAACACTCTTTCTTCGATACTTCCCATCAAGGATTTTTGTCTAAGGGTTTCAACATTTGTCATCGATTTCAATGTTTCAACGTTTTTCTAATTCATTCCAAGAGGTTGGAGATGCTTCTCTGACATTCGATAAATAGAATTCAATTACGAGCACAGTTGAATTTAGCAGAATTCGCCAATGCTTGTAGATCTCGTCCTCTGTTTTGTAACATTATTTCTCACGAACTTTGGTCGAATTAGTGCTTCCACGCGGTTTGCAATTAACATTAAATAACCGTAAATAACCGTGGGGTAGTTAAGTTCTAAAGGTCTTAATTAAACCGAAATCAGAAAATTCTATTTATACGCGGAGAGCACAATATAAATGGAATTTGATCAAAAGGATCGTTCGTCACACATATAACGTGGCGTCGTGAAACCGGATTCCCAGCCGTCGTTAAAATCTCTAATGGTGGGAATCGACGGGTCATAATTGCGTCATTCATCGATCGAAACTCGTACCGAGCGTAGTAACGGTGCCAGGCGTATCCGCCTGGTTTTTTCGAAAGTTCGGAACGACGAAGGAATTCGTCGGCTTGGCCAGATTTTATGGCCATCTCGTGACTTCGTCTGGCACACGTTCTATCGACGTGAAAGGGGCCATGGATCGCGGGGCGCGGTTTAAAACTTCCAGGATAATTAACTAAACTAATTAGCGCCGCGCCGGGACGAAACATCGACGTCTCGTAAGAGCGACAAGAGGCAAATAGACGAGAGACTGCTAGCAGCCAGTGTCACGGATCAGCCTGATAAATTCACACAGGGATGAAGCCAACAACTTGGGCAGCCATGAGGCGAAACACGTTGCCACTATTAATCATTCGGCTGTTTTCTGTTTCGTTCCAACGAA